TTTTATGCTAAGGACAAAACTAAAGCATAAAAGTCGTGGTCGTGTATACAATTAGTCATAACGTGTCCTCAAAGTATTATTTATTATTATTATTATTATTATTATTAAAATATAAATAAATAAATAAAATAATAATAATAATAATGGGAATAGGACAGTAGTAGAGAAAGTAATGGTAGCGGGGGGAAATAGTTCGCGCGATGATACTACTAATATTACTTGAGAAATTTCCCTTTCGATTAGCGTAATCCTTTGTGCAGAACGAGTAGTTTTACAAGCCAGTAGTTCACATTTTTTAAGATCTAAAGTCACTATGGCTCACTTAAAGCGATGGAAAGCCTGGAAGTTGTGTTATCAACAATATACTCATGCTGTTGTATCTGGTTTGATTTTGTCTACCACTATTACTACTAGTGACAGTAGCAGTAGTATTGGTAGTAATGTGCAAAGGACTAGTAGACTTACCAGTAATAATAGGACGTTTATAGGAATATCTTTGAATCCCAAATGAAATCTCTCGCAAGAGGCAGAACCTATAATGGGTGATCCGTATCATATGGAACCCATCTCAGGCTCTCAGACTGTATAATTTATTGCTGCTGGATAGGCCCATGCCAATCTCACAATCATAAGATTCAGCTCAGAGTAATGACACTTACTGTGACAAGAAAAATGTTCCATATGAAGTAGGCAGGTCGGCGGGCTGCCCTGCACTTGACCGATAAGGCGGGCAGAATAGAGCCTGGCTCGGCGTATTCGTGGGCCAGTTCGTGCTGCTCAGTCTCGATGTGCTTGTACAGGTACCATTCCTGCTCATCTGCATAGAAATGTGGTTTTAAGACAGAAGGTCTGCATCAGCTAAGCTAAACTCAAACAACGCAGGCATTGCTTAGTTTACGCGGCTTGGCTTCCGTCCTTGTATTACTGCCGACCCTGAGAGACAACATGAGGACCAGAATTTGGGCTCGTCTTAGTAACCATTGTCCTCGCATAACTCTCTGTAAGGTGGTATCGCAATAAAAGTGGAACTGCGCAAACTTAAAAGCGATGACCAGATTTGGTTACCCATTGATATTGGACGAGATGAATTGAATGGAATAGATAAAGATTTGTGATGTTTTGATGAAAAATATTATCAGAGAGCGAAAATTCGCAAGTTGCCATATCTCAATTAAGTTTTTTCCAAAATATAATGTCAAACGCTTAACTTAAGCTTAGCTCCAAATTTTTTAAAACATCGGGCACTTGGCAACAAAGGCAAAAGACTGTTCTTCACTTAGATCTGGAGTACGAGTGGGTAAGTTTAGGTAATGGAAGACCTGATAGTTGAGTTTGTTGCAATAAAGCGACTAAATTTCTAGTAGATTTCACTTATCGGTGCGGCCTATAGGCCTTCTTACCCCTTCATCAACATCTACGATGGAATTCGAGAAAAGTCATGTGTATCACATGATACGGATAAGACTTCGTGATGCAGTTAGACTGTCAGTGGATCTTACTGCCAGTCATGGCCTCTTCTTAAGCAGTTCTCTTTTCTTTATAAGTGGTTTCTCGAGACTATTAGTAGATCAGATATATGAAAGGTATTCACACCGCCTTTTTTAAGATGATAAGGGGACTGCTAGTTGCATTTTCCCACAATCCGTTTGGTACACCCTAAATTTATATTTAATTTCACATATCCTTGCTTTCTATAAGGCTATTCTCCTCCCGGTTGGAGCGGAGTGCAGTTGCAATCTCGCCTGAACTGGTTCCATCAGCAACTTCAACGGGACTCGAACCATGACAGTACAGTTTATGATATCGACGCATTAACTACCCCTTAACATACATACATAACGATGATATCTTGCTCTGATGATATTCGTCATATGACGAACAAAAGTATAGCACCTTTTTACCGGAATTGAAGGAGATTACCTCGGAAACAGCTTCACTATGAATGTTGCAGTAAAGCCAATCGACAGCTGGTCAAAAGGAATCCGCAGTCGTCTTCTGGCAGAAACAATCCTTGAATCTCTTCACCAAACAATTTCACTTGAATTAGTTTTTCCAGTTCCTCTTTTCAGAACTTAGAATCAGTGAGTTGTAGGCTTTTATGACGATACTCCGGAGTTGGACTGGAAGTTGAGGCTTATTCCTGCATGCGATTTCTTTTGGAAATGTCATTTCTTGCTAGTTTCCTCGAGGCGAATAACCTCTAACTCCAAGAAATGTAAGAGTCCTTTCTCCTGCAAATCCATGGTAAATTTAACTTTTGCATCTATTTCGTTTATGAAGCTTAAGAACTCGTCTAATTTTTCTTTTCCATGCAGCCAGAATACGAAGTTGTCACCCAAATATCGCATAGTCACTGTTGACTGCTGATGTGACGCTTTAAAATTCTAATTCAACTTGTCCATGAAGGCATCAGCCAACAGAGATGAGAGTGGTGAGCCCATGGACAGACGAAATAGTTGCCCATAGATGCGGCCGTTAAACGTGAAATAGGCAGTTCCTATTGTTAGATTGATTAGTCGGGCTAGAGACTCTTTTCAGATTCGCTCAATTTTCAGAATGTCTTCTCTTTCCATGATCTGAAAAAATGTAATAGCTTCCTGTTCTCCTAAGATGTTGGTATACATGAACTGTACATCAAAGCTCACCAATAGTTTGTTTTCCGCCAAACTTGCATATTTAAGTGTTTGGCAAAATTCGTATGAGTTCTTCACTTTATTAAATAATCTGTCATTCATTTTCTTTAACGTGAGGAAGACAAACTTCGCCAGTTTGTGTGTTGCTTCCTTTTTCTCGTTGACTATTCGCCTCAAGGCTCCTCCTTCTTTGTGCACACTCGCAGACCGTATGCTACTGGCGCTCTTGCGCCCTTTCGTATGAGTGAGTTCATTGTCCATTTGTTGACTTCCTCGTTTATATTCATTTCGATCAGCCTCTTTTGCAGTGCCCCTTTGGTTCTAACTATTGGGTCCTTTGCTAGCAGTCGGTAAGTTGTAGTGTCAGCGATAATATTTTCCATTTTCTCTCCATATAGCTTCCTGTCCATCACCACGGTGTCACATCTTTTGTCGGCTTGTAAAACTTTTTGCTCGTTTCTTATCAATTCACTTTATATCTTGCTTCTTGATGCGCCAAGAATGTTAGGATAATTTCCATTTCCAGCTCTCTTTTTGATTTTTAGATAGCTTTTCAGAAGTATTTATCACCTCCACTAGAATGTCTTTGATTGCATTTCTTGCTTTCCGAAGTGGAAAATTTAGCCCCTTCTGTTGGATCGCTGTGGTTTTCAGGCCAAGAGGGATGCAAGACAGACTCACTAATTTAACTTCGTTTCTTGTCTAGACTGTGAGATCTGTCATTATAGAGGCATCTTCATTTTTGCCAAGTGGTTGCACCTTTGGTACCTTTAGTATTCTATATTTACTCACTTTCTTCTGGTAAGATATCATTTTTGACATTTTGTCTGTCATCTTCTTAAGCTTAAGGAAATCCTCCGGGGTGAGAATATGACTTAATTCATGACTGAGTCTAGATTTAAAATCTAAAAACTTAAATAATTCTCTACTGTTATTATCAGATGTCTCCTATAATTTTTGAAACTAAACTTGATGAGATTTAAAATTGACTTTATGGGAATAATTTTTTATCCTCAAATTGCAAAGACTAGGAAGGATGCGATAACGTTTACAAGAGTTAAGAAAGATCGAATGAGAAGATTGACTTTCGATTGATATCCTTGATCTGCTGAAATAAGTTAATTGACTGGCAAGCTTACCAATGTGATTAGATCGTAGCTATGAAGACCAAGATGGTGTTGCCTTCCGTTTGGTCGCAGTCTCTTTTAGCTTTATAGTATTGGAGATATGACGATCAAGATGCTGTGGCATCTGGGCTGGTCACAATCTCCTTTCGATTTATAGAAGTGGGTTGACCTTATTGTCGCAACTTAGTCCTGTTGTCAGGGCGACTTATTAGAACACACCTAGTCCGAAGTCGTCTGC